TTCTGAAAAACTTGTATACAGGGACACTCGTATTCCGAGGTACCACTTTACTAGAAAATTTTTATATTCTGGGGAGAACCCCTATGGCGCCCCGGAGCTATCCGGGCTGATATAAATGTATTAGACCCTGACATCAGTCAAGCGATTGGAGTTCTTAGGCATACCAGGGACCACTAGCCAGAACCTGACCCCTTCAGAGAAGCACGTGGAACAATGGTCTATAGAAACCCCCATGTGGTTGGAAGCATTCTATGTCTGCCATCAACTGGGTCAGGCACCCACAAAGGTAAGCTCCCCAAGACAAACCCCTATTCTGGTTAAAAAGATTGCTACTGAAAGCCGAACTATTGGACAGAACTTGCCATTTGGAAACGAGCATGATGTCACCACGTCACCGTGCCGCTACCTGTGAAGCTCACCCCTCCCAGGAGAGGAAAGAGGGAAGCCTCAGACCCCAGCCCCAGCTATCCACACCCCAGTTCTGTGGCTGATGTGATTCCTGATGGTCATGCGACTCTGGCTTCAAATCTTATCAATGCTGTGCCTTATGGTGTGGTCCTGTCCGGTGGTGGTGTGTGAGCCAGAAATAATTTCACATGTACTCAGGCTTTAGGGTTACTTTCCCTAAATGCCCTGTAAGTACTGCACTTGGGGCTTGGGGGGGTTACCTTCCACAAGTCACCTTGGGGTCTACCTCCGCTGTGGTTTTACTTGCTCGGTGATTGCCCGCCCTTGGAGTCAGCTGGGGTGTTACATGCACCCGTTTGCCACTGAGTAAGAGGTAGTTTTCGTCACTGGTAGGGGTGCAAGGTACAGTACTGTGTAGCTAGTTTTCACCTTTTCATAGTGGCCTGTTCCACCTGGGCATGTTGTCTTCGTGCGAGGTTTTTATTTTGTTTTTGTTTATTGCCTGGTGGGGGGGTTATCTTGAGGTTATCTTGAGATGATTTCGGGGCTTTAGTGTCCCTGCGGCCCGGTCCTCGACCAGGCCTCCACCCCCAGGAAGCAGTCCGTGACAGCTGACTAACACCCAGGTACCTATTTACTGCTAGGTAACAGGGGCATAGGGTGAAAGAAACTCTGCCCATTGTTTCTCGCCGGCGCCTGGGATCGACCCCAAGACCACAGGATCACAAGTCCAGCGTGCTGTCCGCTCGGCCGACCGGCACCAGGGGGGGGGGGGAGGTTTGGTCCTTGGTTTTGGTGATCACCCATATATATATCTTGGTGGTCCTCCGCTGGTCCTCCACTAGGTCCCCGTGAGTGTACACGTCCAGGGTGTTCAGCTTTAGCAGTTTGGTACTGTAGTTTTGGGTAGCCAGTTAGCAGTACCTTGCCTAGACTTCCTTTAGTGAAAATACATAACTAAGTGCCGGGAAAACCCTGCAGGGCTCAGTGATTCGATGGATGCATCTTCTGAGTCCCATCTCGCTTTGTGCGAGTTTGAGGGTTGTTGTGTTGCCCTTGTTTCAGGGTAACAATCACCGTTTATGCCTCCGACATGCTGCCTGTTGGGTCGGTGACACTTTCAACCCAGAGTCCTGCGAGTTTTGTTCCTTGTTTGTACTCCAATACATCCAGTCCACTGATAATGATCTTCGGGTGTAGGCGGCTATGGCATTGCATGCTCGCTTCAGGTTACTGCAACATGCTAGGTTGGTTGCTCACCCGGAAGCCCCGAGACTGTCCCCTTTTGGTTATAAGGACCTGGATTTGGGGGTGTTAGTCACATCGACTTCAGTTTCATCCACGCCCTCTTGTCCTTCCTCTTCTGTTTTTTTATCCTAGTCCTCCCCCCACCTGCTTCTGGCTCCGAAGCGTCTGAGGGTTTCGGAGTCGGGGCAAGGTTTAGTTGTTGAGACTGGCAGTTTTGGGGGATGCCCCTTCCGGTGTGGCGGCGGAGGCATTTGAGCCTGTTCCTCCAGCCAGTGCTTCTGGGTCTGACCAGTGGGCCCCCCTTCGTTCATGCTTTCCCGGCTGCTTCTGCCTCTTCCTTTGCGGCAGGGGGTTTGGAGGACGGCTCGGCCCCAAGTCATGATGTTGAGGTTCCCAGGGTGGGGGAGGGGTTGACTTGGATGGCTTGGACCCTGTTTGATCCTGCTTAGGTTTTGGTACCCTTTGAGGGGGCATGTTGATACAGGGGGGTGAGATTTTCTTATCCTCCCTCCCTGTACGAGTTTGATATGGCGTCGACCTCTCCCAGGATTCGGTTCTGTGTTCCCTTGTGTACTTCGACTTAGTTGGTTGTTCTGGTTCCTTCAGGGACATCCCTTCCTCCTATATCATGATCATTGGGTTCAGCCTGTGAGGGGCTTTGCTTCGGCAGCTGTGTCGCCGGCTTCCTCTTCAGGTTTTTTGGGGTTCAGTGCCTTGGCGCCTACCCGAGCCCTCGCTTGATTTGTTCACAGACGCGTTGTCTCTTGGGTGAGGCTTTGTGACCAGTGCTCACCAGGCCAGCCAGTGGCAGTGGGGGATCGTCCTTCCATCAGGCCCACAACACAGTGCGGGAGTTTGCGGCAGTGTGGATGTCACTTCCGAGCGTTCGGGTTGCTTGTGGATCAATGGTCCGGCTCCATTTGGACTGCTTCCCGGTGGTTCATTGCCTGAATTGAGGGGGGTTTGATGCGGTCCTTTGCTCTTTGGGGCTGGTTGCTTCGGGTGACTCGTCTGCGGAGTTCTAGGGGTTTGGCTCTCCGGCTGTTCATGTTCGGGTGGTGTCCAATGTCCTGGTGAATGGCCTGTCTCTGTTCATTCCTCTGTCCATGGAATGGACGGTTGACGACGACTCATTCAGTTGTCTCCACCGGACTTACGAGCTCGCGAAGGTAAAGCTCTTCGCGTCTGTGTGGTTCAGGCGTCTCTCGTTGTATGTGGCACCCTTCCCCGACTGCGAGGGTGTCGAGATCGATGTCTTGCGGCAGGACTGGTCGAGGTGGGGTTACCTTTAATTCTTCCCCTCCTTCCCCCCGGTTCAGCTGTTGCTCCAGGTCCTGGCTCACTTGGAGACTTACCAAAGAGTAGTAGTCCTCTTGGCTCCTTGGTAGCTGGCCCAGCCTTGGTTTCAGGCGCTGCTTGCTCGGTGTCCAAACCCAAGGGCCTTCTCGCAGCTCTGCCTCTTTCAGCAGAATGGACCGATCTTTTACATAGTTGGTTCGATCTTCTCCCCGAGTCTTCATGTCTGGTCTTTTTGACAGGGATCTATCACCACTTGTATGGTGATCGGGTAGCTTTGTTGATGGTTTCCCAACTGCGTGCTTCGTCTTGGCAGAAGTATGAAGTTTCCTGGCAGTCCTTCCATTATTTCTTGTCCCTTCGTAGGTTTACTTCTGTCTCGGTTCGGGTTGTCCTGTCTTTCCTTTCATGGTTGTTTCAGGACCATCATCTTATGGCAAATACTGTCGCCTCATATCATGCGGCGCTGGTGGAGCCACTGCAGCTTGCATTCAGGGTGGATGTTACTTCTGCTCCATTCAGCTTGCTGTCTCGTGCGTTGTTTCACCTCTGACCTGCTCATACGTCGCCTGAGCCATCCTGGTCTTTAGACCAGGTGCTCTCCTTTCTCTCTCCTTCTCGGTTTGTGGTGGCCCCTTCGGTTCAGAATTGTTTTTCCAAGGCTCTTTTTCCTGTTGGTGTTGGCCACTGGGGGTTGGGTCAGGGAGCTTCATGCTCTTCTCCCCACACAGGGGTTTCTGCTCTTTTGGTCCTGGTGATAAGCTTGTTCGTTTGCAGCTATCCCCTTTTATGGTGAAGAATGAGACTGCTGCTTTCCAGAGGGGTCCTTGGGTTGTTGATGCTTAGTTGGTTAAGCCGGGGGGTGCATTGTGTGTTGTGTCCGGTTGTGGCTCTCCCTGCTCTCACTTGCACGCCATGGCATCAATGGCCGGGGACGTGCTTTGGGTTGACCCGGTTTTCCTTCTTCCCTGTTCCAGGGTTCGGGTCTCCCAGGTCGTCCGCAGGGTTATTTGGTCCAACCAGCCTGCAATCTATCCTTGTGCCCATGACGTTCATAAATTTGCTGCTTTGGCTGCCGTCTTCAGTAACATGTCTTGGGCATTTGGGCATGTGGTTTTTGGAGGCTGGACAGAGTCCTGGCCGCTCACTACATTGTTAATGTTCCTGGCCCTAGTCGGGCATGTGTCGCATTGGATTGGTGGTTGCAGCCACTCGCTTCTCAACTCGACTTCTAGTTGAGGATCGAGTGGCAACCGCCTCACGGGTAAGTCCCTCTTGTTTTATCTTTTGTTAAGTAGCTCCGGGGAGCCGTAGGGGCTCCCTCCCCCAGAAAACCAGCTTTGAATGTAATGAAACGGCATTTTCTGGGGAGACTCGGAGGCTCCCCGGCCACCCTCTCTCCCTCCGGTCGGTGGTTTTTCACGTGTTTTGATATCCATCATCAGAACAGGGGTATGGATAGCTGGCGTAGGGGTCTAGGACTTCCCCCTCCCCCTCCCAGGGAGTGGGGGGAGGGAGAGCTGCACAGACAATGGAGCGGTGACGTGGAGACGTCATGTTTGTTTGCTCGTTTTTATTTGAGGAGTTCTGTCCAACAGTTCAGCTTTCAGTAGCAATCTTTTAACCAGAATTTGGGGTTTGTTTTGGGGCACTTACCTGTCTGGGTTCCTGACCCAGTTGATGGCATAGAATGCTTCCAACTGCACAGGGGTTTCCATAGGCCATTTCTCCTCGTGCCTCTCTGAGGGGGCCAGTTTCTGGCTCATGGTCTCCAGTAGGCCTAAGGACTCATATCACTTGACTGATGCCAGGGTCTGATACATTCATATCAGACTGGATAGCTCCTGGAAGCCTCTGGGTCTCACCCAGAAAATGTTTCATTACATTCAACGCTGGTTTTTTAATTTTTTCTTTGTGTATGCAGTGGGGGATGTCAGCTATTATAGGGGGCACAGCCCTGGGGTTAAACAAGTTGAAATTTGTTCTTGTATGCATTTCTTGTGTTAAATACAGATGAACAAATCAGTAACTCAAACTCGTAATTGCAGGTGGTCGTGCAGAGGTTATATACAATTATGTGCAGCGACCTTTTATCCGTATGTCATGGGAAAAGGAGGAAGCAAAGAGTCGACATGTGGATTTTCAGGTAATGTATTCCAGTATTTAATTACAGTACTGTGTATAGATTTTCTGGGGGAGCCCCATCGGCTCCCCGGAGCTATCCAGGCTGATATGTACTTATTTAGCTTTCTGGCATCAGTCAAAGTTCATGGGGTTCTGCCTACCAGGGACCACGGCCAGAACCTGGCTCCCTCAGAGAGGCACGAGGAGCAATATCCTATAGAAACTTCCGTGTGGTTGGAAGCATTCTATGTCTGCCATCGACTGGGTCTGTCATCCAGAAAGGTAGGCGTCTCAAAATAAACCCCTATACTGGTGAAAATTGCCACCAAAAGCTGAACGAGTGGACAGAACTCCCGAAACGAAAACTAGCAACTAGTATCATGTCATCACGTGGTCGCGCCCCCGTCCATGCAACCTCCCCCCGCCAGGAGGGGGAAGGGCAAGCCCCCAACCTTCGCACTGGCAACCCAACCAGAAATTCTTGGCTGATGTGATTCCTGACTGGTCAGGTACCTCTGGCTCCAGTGTTTGTTATCAGTTACTGTGCCTTGTGGCATAGTCTGTCTCTCCAGGGGATGTGTGAGCCAGGAGTAATATTCTACAGTATTCGGGCTGCATGTGCCTAGGGTTCCCTTCCTTAGGTGTCCTGTATGTACTGCCCTTGGCACGGCCTTCCACAAGTCACCTTGGGGTCTACCTCCGCTGTGCTTTCTGTGGGGAGCCCCTACGGCTCCCTGGAGCTTATCGGGCTAATGTATGTTATATGAGACCGGGACATTAGCTCAGGAGTTCAGACCTACCAGGGACCAGCGCCAGAACCTGGCCCCTTCAGAGAGGTTTCAGGGAGTAATGGCCCTGGAAAACCCCTTTGTGGTTGGGGTTTTCCTTTTCTGCCATAGACCGGGGTTAGGCACCCAGAAAGGTAGGCATAACAAAACAAACCCCACATGGTAAAAAACTAAAACAAAAAAAAAACGAACAGAGAGGTAGAAACTCCTTACAATCGCAAGGAAACAAGCAAACATCACACTTTACTGCCGTACCGATCGTCTGCGCAGCCCTCCCCGCCCCGAGAGGGGGAAGGGGGAGCCCCGGACCTACCGCGCTGGCTGCCAAGCTTTAGTTCGTAAGCTAATGTGAACCGGGATAGACGCTTCTCTGGCCTCGGTTTCCTAGGCGGTGTTTACCTTGTGTGGCGTTCACTGCCGTGTGTTGTGTTGTGCAGTGGCCAGGAGTACCTCATCAGTGCCAGGGCTGCATGTGCTTAGTGGCTGACTTCCCTAAGTGCCCTGTGAGTACTGCCCTTGCCTAACAGGGTTATCTTCCCCTGGGGCGTTCGGGAACCGTTCCCGAAGAGGTTCTTGCTGCTCGGCATTTGCCTCGCCTTTGGGGCCAGCTGGGGCTTGGGGCCCTTGTTTGGCCCTAAGTATGGATTGGTATTGTGCTGGTTAGGGTGTCAAGGTGTGGCACAGCCTGCCACCTAAGCGGCGGCCGGTTCCTGTTGCCTCTGGAGACGGTGTACTTTTGCGGGGTTTTTCTTTTGTTTTTATTTTCATGCTTGGTGGGGGTCTGCCTAGTGTGGCTATGGTTCCACTGGTAGTGTTTGGCGGCCCTCTGCTAGGCCCCCGTGATTGTATACGTCGCAGGGGTTTTCAGTGCTATCATCTACCCTCTTGTTATGTTTGGGTTTCTTAACCGGTTAGCAACACCTTGCTCGGGCTTACCATAGTTGTTACCCCTACGGGCCCTGGAAACCCCTGTCTGGGCTCGGGGGACCATTGAATGTGTCTTCCGGGTTCCAACCCATCTTGTACGGGATCGTTGGTTGCTGTGCCCTCGTCTCCAGGTGACAGTCGCCACTTTTACCTCCGTCATGCTGCCTGTTGGGTCACTGACACCTTGACCCGGAGTCTTGCGAGAGATTCTCTGCTTGTTCTCCAGTACTCTCCTGATGTTATTACTGTTCAGAGTACAGGCGGCATCCGTGTTGCAAGCTAGGTTAGGTTGCTGCAACATGCTAGGTTGGTTTCCCACTCGGATGCCCTGAGGCTGCCCCGTTTGGTTAGGTGCTGTTCGCCCTTTTCCCTCCCTGTTCCCGGCTCCGGACTGTGTGGGGGTTTCGAGGTCGGGGCAGGGCTTAGTTGGGGCCGAGACTCGGGCGGTTTTCGGGGACTGCCCTGTTCGGGTTGGGGGACGGAGGTTTTTCGAGCCGGTTCCTCCTGCCAAGGCTTCTGGGTCTTACCAGCGGCCCTTTCTTGCTGCCTTTCCTATGGACTCTTGCTTTTCTTTAAGGGCAGAGGGCTTGGAGGATGGCTCTGCCCCAGGGCCTCTGTTGTTGGTGTGGGTGATGCCTGCTAGCAGTTTTGGGGCGGTTTGCCCCTGCCTGGGTTTTCTGCTGTTGGGCGGCGTTTTTCGCTCATCCAGTCTGCTTGCTTCCCACTTTTTGCTGGCGTGTTTTTGTATCTTTAGCGTTAGTCACAGCCCCTGCTGGCGGCCATTTTCGTCTGCCGGTTTCCCGGCGTGGCCACCAGGGCGGCGTTGCGTTTTGCTTACATGCGACTGGGTGTGCGAGCGAGCTTCTGGGGTGAGTTTTCACCTTTTTTCAGGGTTTTTTATTCTCCTGTTGTTGTTTCTTTGCTTTTCTGGTGTTTTCTGCCCGTTGCCTGTTCCTCTGGGAACGTTTGGATGTTGAATTTACACCTTGTTTTCCATTTTGTCTGTTTCGGGTCTGGGCCTTTGGGTTTGGACTCAGTGTCCCCTGGCTGGTATGCTTGCTCCCACACCTTGTCCCTCGGTTTTTGGTCTGTTATGACCGTTTTCCCAGGGGGTTCTGTCTGGGGGCTGTGCTTTGCCTTTATGTGGTGTTCTCTGCCGGCAAATGTGGTGGTTTGGGCTTCCCCTGGTCGATTCTGGGTTCCTTTGGGTTCTTTGGTTTCGTTCCGGAGGTTTCTTCCTCTTGGGCCCCCTTTGTGGGTTCAGGGGGCGTTGTTTCCTCGTGTGACCCGGTTCTGCCTTCTGGGGTTCCGGGGTCTTCCTGGCTTGCAGACTGAGCTTTTTGGTGTCGAAGTGTCGTCGAAGTGTCTCTTTACTTCCTTCTTTCTACTCCCTCTACCCGTATTCTTCCTTTTATTTCTAAACCCAGGGACTCCAAAACTTTTACCAAAGCCAACTCCACGCCACGTGGTCCTAAGCTTCCTGGGGGTGGAGGCCTGGTCGAGGACCGGGCCGCGGGGACACTAAAGCCCCGAAATCATCTCAAGATAACCTCAAGAAGATCCCTTCTGAACCGGTGGATTTATTGCCCCTCCTTTCGAATGACGACTCTGTCCCAGGTCCGTCTTCTGTTGAACCCGGATGCATGGATGGTGTCCCTGGACCTCAAGGATGCGTATTGTCATGTCCCGATTCATCCAAGGTTTAGGAACTGGCTCGGTATTGGGGTGGGGCGTCAAGGTTACTGTTTTTGTTGCCTTCCTTTTGGTTTGAATCTGGCGCCTCGCGTTTTTACACACCTTACCCTGGTTGTGGTGGCCCGTCTGCGTCTGTTAGGTGCTCGGGTTCTGGCCTACCTCAACAACTGGCTGGTTTGGGCTCCTAGGCGGTCCGTGTGTCTGCTCGCCAGGGATTTGTTATTTTCCCAGCTAGCCGGGATTGGGTTCCTGGTGAACTGGTGGAAGTCCCATCTGGTTCCCTCTCAGGTTCGGTCTTGGCTGGGTCTTCGGTGGGACGCTCGGACAGTTTTTTTGTTTTTTCCTCCGGTGGCTCTGCTTCACCTGAGTTCCTGCCTTCGTCTGTTTCTGAGGGTCATGCGCCGGTTGCTCAAGGATTTGTGCGGGAGCCTGAACTTTGTCATGATGGTCTACCCGCCGGGTCGGGTGTGACTTCGTCGGCCATTCTGGTTTCTTCCGCCTCTCTCGCGACCGCTGGTTTGGCCTCTGGGGGCTTTGCGTCGGCTGCTGCATTGTCAGCTTCCTCTGATTCCTTTGCAACCGAAAATTACTAGGGACTTAGATCGCTGTGTTTTGCACCAGCTTCAGTTTTGATGCCAATTCCTTTCTGACTTCCAGTGCAGAGATATTGGGGCAAAGATTATTGGTAAGACTTAGAAACTAGAAATGAGTAATAAATATCCAAGCTCTCATACATAACATGAGCAGCATTACCAATTACAATAAATTATTTTCAGTGTGTGAAAAGTAAATCTGTGACTGATCTTGCTGAAGCAACAGCCGACCCTGCTCTTGACCGTGTTGTGACATTGGATCCCCCACCTGTGGCCATGGGTCATGAAGCCCCTGCTGAGCCTGTGCTGCCCTTGGAGGGTGCAGTGGGTGGAGGTGATAGTCATCAGGATGAGGGAGCTATTGGAGGAGCAGCGGCAGGACCACAAAACCCATCTCATCCAGTAAATGAATCATATCCAGAGGTACTGTATGTAATTTTTTATAAAAATAAAATATGCAGAATTCATTATTTATTATTAATTAGAGCATAATGATGCATGAAACATGATTGAAAATTATTTAAAGTTTTTTCATTGGTACTGTATATAAAATGACATGAACACTTTCGTTAATTTTATTGAAAAATTTTTCAGCTAATTTCTTTGTTAATAATTACACATGATTTAGGTACCTCATTTTCTTTGGTTTTCAATATACAATAAACTATTATTCTGTCGAGCCTCCAAATTCTAAACCTACATTGTAGCAAATAACTCTACATAACTGACCAAATCTACGTAATGGATCTCCCTGATTTGGATTTGTTGTTGAAAAATCCAAATTCCTGAGGGAATTGCTGTGAAATCTGGATTGTTTAAAAAAAACTTAATTTCTAGCTTATATTTTCTGGAAGGGTTAACGACCCACACTGAGATAGCTCTACGCACACAAATCATGTTGCCCCTAAGAGTCCTTAATGTTAATAATCTACTGGAGATCAGAGGCCAAAGCCTGGGTCCTGCTCATAGAGGCACAGGATCCAGAATTCTAGATAACCCTCACCAAAGAAACTCCCAGAAGTTAAGCAAAGCAAAATGAACAACTGCAAGGTTCAAAGAAGGTAAACAAAGCAGCCGATGACTTCTCAAATGATCCACCCAGTAGTTATGTCATGCCTCTTTCCAGTTACTGCTGGTTGCTACCAAGCGGCAGCAGCACCACAGAGGCTGTTAGCTTACCTTGTCAACAATGATCAGTCCTTTGTTTGATATCAGACATTTCTGACCTGATCCTTCATGTCCCTTGCTTTGGGTTCCAATTTCTAAATAAGCATTGAGCATCCTGACAGCCTGACAGCTGGGTGGACAGCGCTTCGGATTTGTAGTCCTGAGGTTCCGGGCTCGATCCCCGGTGGAGGCGGAGACAAATGGGCAAAATTTTTCTTTCACCCTGATGCCCCTGTTACCTAGCAGTAAATAGGTACCTGGGAGTTGGACAGCTGCTAGGGGCTGCTTCCTGGGGATGTGTAACAAAAACAAGGCCTGGTCGAGGACCGGGCCGTGGGGACGCTAAGCCCCAAAATCATCTCGAGATTACCTCAAGATCCTTTGGACTCTGTTCTGTAGGGGACCCATTGGCTTTAGTATAGATGTAATATTTAGTGTTTGCTTCATGTGCCATGTGTTTACAATCCTTACTTAGTTTGAGGACTTTGGAAACTATTTATCTCGAGCTGCATATGGTTAAGGCTGCCTTTTCCAAGGCACTTGTTGATGTTGCCTTTGCACTGACAAGGCTGCTCTCTTGGTGTGTTCGGTGTTTGTCCCATACAGACCAGCCTACTGTGTAGGATACTTTGCCCTGAAAAGTAATTACCTGAATGTAATTGCAGGATGAGAGCTACATTCATGGTGTCCCGTCTTCCCCAGCACTCTTGTCGTATAACGCTTTGAAACTACTGATGGTTTTGACCTCCACACCCTCTCACTTAACTTGTTCCAACCATCTAACATTCTGTTTGCAAAAGTGAATTTTCTTATTTCTTTGGCAGTTTTGTTTACTTAGCTTAAATCCTCTTGTTCTTGAAGTTCCAGGCCTCTGGAATTCTTCCTTATCAATTTTAGATTCTCGTTAATATTTTATATGTAGTGATCATGTCACCTCTTTCTTCTATCTTTTAGTTTTGGCATATATAATGCCTCTAGCCTCTCATCGTAGCTCTTGTCTTTCAGTTCCGAGAGCCATTTAGTTGCATGTCTTTGCACCTTTCCAGTTTGTTGATGTGCTTCATAAGATATGGGTCCATACAACTGCTACGTATTCCAGCTTTAGTCTCACAAAGCTCATGAACAGTTTCTTTTAGTATTTCACCATCCATGTATTTCTGAAAAAAAAGCAATTCTGAAATCGGAAAGCGTAGTATAGGTTCCTCACACACTGTAATATACGTGGTCCTCAGCTGATAGTTTTCTATCTAGAATCACGTCTAGATCTCTTTCTTTATCAGAATTTTGTAAAGCTTTTTCACATAATTTGTAGGTTGTGTGGGGCGTATGTTCTATTCCACATTCTATTCACATTAAATTTCATTTGCCAAGTGGTGCTCCATATACTTATTTCGTCCAGGTCTTCTTGAAGGGGCATGGCAATCATTTAAGTTTCCTATCTTCCCTATTATCTTAGCATCATTAGCAAACATGTTCATATAATTCAGTATTCCATCTGGTGGATTGTTTATGTAGACAATGAACATTACTGGTGCAAGAACTGAACCCTCTGGTACCTGTACTCCACTTGTGACATTTCTCCAGTCTGATATATTGACTGATTACTGCCCTCATTTTCTGTCGGAAAATGTTTCATCAATGTTAGAAGTCTTCCCGTCACTCCTCCAATATGTTTCAACATTGTTCCAGAACAACCTTATATGTGGAACTCTGTCAAAAGCCTTTTTTAGGTCCAGATAGATGCAGTCAACCCAACCATCTCTTTCCTGTAAAATCTCTGTGGCTCGATCATAGAAACTAAGTAAATTTGTTTCACTGGATCTTCCAGATTAAAAAAACACTGTCTGTTGTATAATTTTTCATCAGGTGTTCTACCCATTTAGCTTTAATTATTTTTTGTAATATTTTGAATGTTACACTTGCCAATGATACAGGTCTGTAATTAAGGGGCTCTTCCTTGCTGACACTTTTGTAGATTGGAACTATGTTAGTCTTTTTCCACACATCTGCTATGACTCCTGTACACAGGGATGCCTGGAAAATCAGTTGAAGTGGAATGCTGAGCTCAGGTGCACATTCTCTCAGAACCCATGGTGAAACTCCATCTGGACCAACTGCTTTGTTCTTACTTAGCTCCTTGAGCATATTTTCCACTTCGTCTCTAGACACCTCTATGTGCTCTCTGGAATTCTTATTGTCTGGTTCTCTGAAGATTTCATTTTGCACAAACACATTTTGGAACTGTTCGTTTAATGTTTCCTTTTCATTTTCTTGAATATTATCCTTTACCTGAAATTTGCTTTTAATGAATTTATAAAATAGGCCTGGTTCTGTTTTACATTTGTCAGCTATCCCTTTCTCAAAACTTCCTTCTGCTCCTCTTCTCACTGATATGTAGTTGTTTCGTTTTTCTTTGTATTGCTGGTGCGTTTGAGGGTTTGGCCTCTTCCTATATTGATTCCAATTTTGTGTCTTTTGGTCTCTGCCCCTTTCACAATTTTTGTTGAAGCAAAAATTGCTTCCTAGTTCTGCCTCTGATTTGGTATAAATTTTGTTGTGCTTTTATCATATATTTCACAAAAGTTGATGTAAATCTCATTTACTTCCTTGCCTAACAGCAAATTCAAATTCATTAAAGAACTTTCTAAATTTCCCATAGTATTCTCTCCTGAGATCAGGTTTTTCAACTGCTTTTTCCTAATTCTCTTCTAGATTATAATGCATTGCATACTTTATTCCCAAAAGGACATGGTCACTTTTACCCAAGGGAGCAAGGTACTGAATGTCAAATATCTCTTCATTTTTCCTAGGGAATATCAGATCCAGCATGGAGGGAACGACCCCTTTCCCCGTAGCTTGTTGAACGTGTTGATACATGAATGTCTCCAGGATGAAATTTACAAATCTACAGGTCCAAAAGTCCTTCATTCTAGCTTCATAGGCCTCTCAGTTTATGGATTTCAATATGAAGTCACAGGCTATTAGCAGTTGTGATCTATTTTTCTCCTCTCTTGCTATAATATCTTCCATGATTGTTATGAGGCCATCCAGCTCCCCTTTTGTCTATGTGTTAAATGAACAAGTCCACCGTCATGCATGATTATCAGTTTATCATCCTGATTACCAGTCTCCTGTGCTATTATGTCAGTATTGCAAGGGTCTTTGACTCCTCTGCAGCTCTTAGGCTGAGGCTGTTAAGTATTAGGCAGAATGAGAAAACAAGACTTAACTACATGTTTATTGTAAACAAGAAACATGCTCACCAGTATAAACTCCAGATATTAACACCCTGTAAAAGTAGTTATTGAATATAAAAAAGCTTCATGCCTAATAATATAAACCTAACCTAGTAATATTTAATACTACACATCACACTCAATCCTAACATTCCTTCTCTTTTAAATAAAATCTACCACCTACAAATCAAGTTTATTAGGTGGTCATATGGCTGTTCCTGAACTTCTTAACTGGGGATCAAGACCAGTTAATTCTTTGGAACCTTCCTTTGCATTACTGGCTTCTAATTCCATGGAAATAGCTTTAATTTCCATGCTTTAGCATTAATAAATTAGCAGCATAGCCGAGTTATTAAGGCAGTGTGAATTTCCATTCTCTTGCAACACCTTTGATAGCGCTGTGTGGGGTCACTTAGGCTGTTTTGCCAGTTCTGGTCATGATTCGTATGCTTTCTGGGTTTTCCCAGGATCTTTGAGGAAATTAGTCCACCTTCCCCCTTCTTTTAGATTCAGGGGTGTTGGATCAAGAATCCTCCCCTCAGCTATTTGCAGCCATCACAATGTTGTTGGACTTGAGCATGGTCGAGTTAACCTTTCTTTGGTGGGTGTCCCAGTTATTCCCAGTCCACAATACTTAGTGGATCTTCAGTAAACTTTTGATCTCTCGAGATTGAACAGCTTCATTTCCTGTCTGACCTTCTGCATGACCATTTTAGCTCAGATTCGCTTGATGTTGCAGGCAAGTCTTGGATGGTGTCCCTAGGCCTTAGGGATACATACTGGAATGTCACTTTTCACCCAAGGTTCCAGGACTGGTTTCTTACTGGGTTTCAAGCCACTTCAAGAATCTCCAATTTTGGCTTAAATCTAGCTCATCAGTTCTTACCAGGTTAGCACGAGTGGTTGTGACCCAGTTGCTATACATCTTTTCCCAAGTTAGTGTCTTAGCCTATCTCGACCACTGGCTGGATTGGGTTCCCAGCCAGTCTGTCTGCTAGCCAGGCCTCTGGGTCTTTCCCA